TAACTTTTAATAAATAGTACTTTTTTTTCACTTATATAAAAATTAAATATTTTTCTTTTTCTACTCATAAACCTGTGGAACTTCTCGGTTAATATTTTGGACATTAATATTCACAAGTAGCAGTGATCTGCACCTTTAAGGTTCGACTAAAACAATTATGAAAATCATACCTGTATACTGTTTAAACAACAACAACAACAACTATCACTTTTCTGGTTCGTTACTGCTGTCGTTTTGTCCATCTCCCGCTTCCCTCTCCATGTTTTCGATTTTAGTCTGCGGAATGTGCTCGACGTCGTTCTCAGAGACTGACGACTGAGTCATGACCTTAATATTGGGGTCTTGACCTTTATGCAACACAAAAGATAAAAGTTAAACGTCAATGATCATTTTCTCTTAACGAAAATAAATTTTCAGCCTTCATTTTAGAAAAAAACCTTAATATATTCTGAACTACTTGAAGAGCGATTTCTTTATTCAGTTTCAAGTAATTGTATTATTAAAAATGACTTGGCCAACACTAAAGATACTCTAAGTCAACAATTTGATTGATTATGTCAAACATTTCCCTTATAGTGTCTCATTAATTGACTCTTATTAACTTCAGAAGTCGATTATCTCCATTAATCATATATTCATTTAATTACCTTGAAAATTGTCAATGGATCTCGATGTTACTTTACCGTCCCTAAACACATCTTCCTGGAGGTGTTCTGATTCCTGACTCCTGACATTATTGCTCTCGTTCGGGTCATAGTTTTGTTCATTTTGTTGTTGAGCTTGTGACATACTATTACCAACGTTGCCAGAGTTTCCACCGTGCATTTGCTTCCTTACCTTTTCTCCTACAACAAATAGTAAGCGGATCTTATAGCAGCCTTTACATTAGTAATCGTCTATGCTAATCAGAAACTGTTCTGATTTGTCTTGCACAAGCGACGTACCTTTTCGCCACAATGTGATCTCCTGTTGTTTGAAGTATCTTCTATCTTCAGTATCCATAAGGACTAAATTGAGAAAGTATCTGACGGAAAACTTTTTGTTAATGTCCCTCATTGTCGGTGTTAAATCGTAACCAGCTAGGAAAACTCGAATTGGAATGCTTTCTCCTTAAAATTAAATATAAATAAACTTACTGAGAATTAAAACAGTAAAAACAAATACCTTTAACAGGTGCTCCGTCCATTATTTCATATTTTGCTATGGTCTCGTTCTCAGTGAACATGTTTGGACCCATACCAGTTGTTTCCCTTTTTATTATAGCAATTTCCATATGTTTTATCTTAATTCTTACCAGAAGAAAATAAATTTTACCAACTATGACATCTTTTAAGTGATATCTGTAGAAAGTAAAAGTGAAATTAGTTCAGTTAAGGAATGTAAAGTTAAAATGCCACTCACTTGGACTTATTATACTCAAACTCTATGTGTAAGCAATCTTCGATGCCAACTTCCATTTTGATAGAATTATTCATTTCAGGGTAGCTAGATAGTGTATGTACTGCAATGTCCAGTTCCTTAACAATGTCTGCTAGACGTCTTATTATAGTAACTTTTAAAAAATACCTCAATCTAACATTAGCACCTAAAGAAAAGAATTTACATTTTTCTACCAATTCTCTTTCTACAACAGATTATTTATAAACTGACCTGTGTAAACCTCAAATGGCTTTTCTACATTTAAAAAATCAAAAGGATAACTAGTGTGTGCAATCATTTCGCCAGGTCGTGCAAGTTCTCTCACTAAACTTATAAATTCATGGTGATTGCCTCTATCATAAAAAAGTTCTATCTGTCCTATGAATTCTATTTTGATTCCTTGGTGTTCTAATTTGCTACCGGCTTTTTTCAAACTAACATTTACCTGTAAAAAGAACGGTGAAAAATGTCGCCATTACACACCTACACATTACTCTAACTCAATACAGTTAATGTTCTTTCAAATTACTGGAATAATTTATACAATTATTTAGAAAAGTAAAGTACTATTGACTGCTTACTTTTCCAGATATAGTTTCTCCGTCATAATACAGATATAACAGTTCTTTTTTGTTATCCTCCCCCTTAACCTCAACTTTTTTCCTAGTTTCTTGTCCATCAAGATATATATCCACTTCGGCGGATTGCCCGAAACCAAAGAAGCTCTGCAACGGTCCGAATTTTATCAATATAACATTACGAACAACCGTTACAATTAATTAATAACGTACAGAACATTATTCATTACAGCCTTATCAAACAATCAAACGTAACTTACCATTGTTTCAGTCTCACTGTAATAACGTTATTTAAAACTAATGTCTATATTAAGTCCGTTTAGTAACGATATAATTAAATTGAAGATGTTTAAAACTACATTAACAATTATTCTCTCATTTTACTAATTATTTTTTCCTAATTCAGATAGCAGACACCAACACTTTTGACATATGCCAAATCTGTCTATTAAATTTTTGACAACATGCTGACAGCTGTCACACAAACAATAATTACATCGAATTACATATTATATGTAGGTGTGCAATTTCTTTTTTAATACACAGGGCGATGTTTTCTGTTGATACTTAACCAATTCAAAATGTAAAGTATACTAAATTGTTTATATAAAAACAAAATGAATTTTCTTATACTTCAACTATTTCCTTAAATAAACAAAACAAGAATAACTTTTAATAAATAAAACATTCATTTATTTGGCCGGTTCTAAATAATTATTTACAAAAAGAGAGTATAATTTTACAATTGATCTGCTGAACACTTCAAATAATCAATTTAATTCAATGTATCGCTTTTTTTCTACAGCAAAATTATATTAGAATGGAACAACGGGGAAATATATAAGGTGGTAGTATAATATAATATAACTTTTCTTTTTCTATTAATGTTTGTTTACAATCGTAGCCAATACATAGAACTGCGTATACGGTTGTAATCTGGCAGACCTTCGACAGGTCCGACGGCTGCCACCGCGGGGCATCGATCGAACAAGTATTTATAACAAACTTCCCTCACATTGTCGGCAGAGATATAATTGATACGATGGGCGAGCTCATGTGGGGGAATTCTGCGACCGTAACACAAGAGTTGACGTCCTGTAAAACAATACATTTTATATTTTCCTTTCCACAACAATGCGTCAATAATGAGGGAAGCTGTCTTGCAATTTCTTCCCTTTTCAAAGTAACTCTTAATAATCATTATTTCCTTAAAAGCGTGAGTATTACATACACAGTGCTTTTATTTATACTATGTCGTATTTTCAAAGAGAATTTTATATTTAATTAAAAGACTCACCGATATCTTCGCAAACGGCGGTTGAAGTATCCAACTGTAGAAGCGTGTTTGCGGCCAATAAGTTTCGTCCTCTTGCGACTTCGCCTTCAGTTACAGACGAACATAGGCGCATAAATTCTTTCTGAATGTTGAAAAGCATATCTTCAGTATTCCGACCTTCCGTTACAAAATAAACACCCCACAGCCCGGTGTCCTGTTGAAAAATATGCTTTAAATCAAATCTCTAAATTAATATGAAGTAAACATACTTTATAGCATGTGTTGAAGCTCTGGTAACTATGACAGAGGTCATCTTCAGCGGAAACTCGGGCCAACTTGGTGGCGTTTTGTTTGCCAGATGCCTGGGACCGATCCCAAGCACCTAAAAGAGTACTGGCGACCATCAGGGTCAAAGTATCAGGGTCAGTCCAGCCGGGGCCCTCAACTGCAATAGCCACATGAGCTAATGGCAAACTATCGTCGCGGACACGAACCTCGGAACCCGAATAGCGGCAGGGAGTCAATTTCCCAGAACTAGTCTCCTGTACGGAACAAACGTCACCTACAAAAATATTAATTTAATTTTTGCAAAAAGTGTTAACTGTTGAATACTTAACCGTTTACAAAAATAAGTATGAAATCGTAGAAACCAAGTAAATGTTTAAAGATCAATTTTATACATAACTTACGAACATTTCTTTTTACTTTTTATCAATGCAGAAAATTAAATTACACAAAAGTAAATACAAAAACATTAAGTGTCAAACATACCGCCTTCTTTCATATTTCCAAAACTGCACTCCACAAGTTTAACCAAGTCTTCATGGTTTACTCCACCAGCTCCAGCAATCACCATCCTGCTGGGTTTGTAATGAGCTCCCAAATAAGCTTTCAAATGTTGAGCATTAATGCACTTGATATTTTTTGTGGGACCTTAAAATATTCCAAAAAAATATTAGCAATCACATTTTGAAATAATACATGCATACCTAGAATGGTATTGGCTAAAGGAGTTCCTTGGTATGCTGTGGCGTGTAAGTGGTCAAAGACAACTTCCTGTAAATTAGACTCGACCTCTTGCATCTCTCTTAAAATCACACCTCTTTCCCTTTCAATTTCAGCCTCACCTAGATTAGCGTTTTGAACAATATCAGAAAGAATCTCAATCGCTTTGGGTACATCTTTTGCCAAGCATTTGGAATAATACACGGTCTGTTCTCGGCTTGTGTATGCATTTAACTGAGCACCCATGTCTTCAATTTCAATTTCCAGTTGACTTTGTGATCGTTTCTTTGTGCCCTATTGAAAACAGAAGAACATTATACAAATTACACAAAGAATTACAAATAGTAATACTTTAAATGCCATATGTTCCATGAAATGAGCGACACCATTGTTTTCACTGTTCTCGTATCTGCTTCCAGCATCTATCCAAATACCCACAGTAGCTGTTGGAGAGCCCCAATCTTCTGTGGCAACTCTAATACCTAAATGTTTATAATTAAAGTATAACAGTCTTTTTTTCATCATTGTTAATATGCAACTTACCGTTTTTGAGGGTAGTAACTTTGGTAGGTGGTACATTAACCAGTACATCGGACAACACTTCTTCTGCATTTGCTCCATAGTTGCGTGAGAATAATATATTCTAAAAAATTATATCAAATGCAATTTATTTAGCAAGTTTTTATTGATATATGGACAGGTATCGTCATAGCAACTTACGTAACCAAAAAAATATACAAAATCCAAAAAGATTACTTTACGAAACTGTAGAATATTAAATTTATTAGAGGTTTTCAAATTTAAAAATTTACCTGCAATATTTTTTTGTTTTTCGGCAATTTTGTTAAAGCCCGAGACAACTTTAATATGGAAGCCATTTTTCTTCTGATTCCTGCACAAGTATCGAATCCATAGATCGAATCATAGAAACGCATAAAATACATAGAACATTGAAGTGGAGTATCTATAGTCTAGTTCAATGACATAAAACAATTGCACAGAATCATAGAATTTATACAGGACTGATACCATCGAGTATACACGTCATTTTTTGACTGATATACTGGATATACTTATTAAAATCATAGAAATTTCAAATGGTCTGTAAAATATGAAGTGTCAATGGTCTACTAAAAAGTAAAGCTTTGATAACCAACTATAACAAATTATATCATATTTCAATATTATAATTCAGATGTATAATGGTGCGTGAAATTAATTCAAATTCAAATTCAAATTCAAATTTATTACCACAACAATATACAGTAGTTTATTCAATTTTTAACAATGTTTAATATTTTTTATTCACTTTTATTTAAAGATGTAAATTATATTTACGTTGATATGTTTTCCATAATTGTTTTAAAATTTTTAATATAGTTCGGGATGTAGATCTAATAGAAGCCTTAAAGTAAATACAAAAAAGGATAAAAAAATCTTTAATACCATAGATCAACGCCACACCTTCGGTACAATAGACGTTACCAAAATTGGTTACAGATTATCTCTTTGGTAACCATCATTATTCTTCTATAGTTAAAAACAGTTAAAAATAAAAGAAACGCTATGTTAACCTACAAAATTTGAAGTTTAACTTTATTTAAACTTTTAATAAATTGTTAGGTGTTTATAGTATTTGTCTCAACAAATTTTAGTTTCGTGTTTAAATATGACGGAAAACAGAATATTTGAGTTGATAAACGAAATGCAGCAAGTTTCTACGAATAGTGTTAATTCATCCAAAGTAATACCGCAAAGGGCGGAGTTAATTGCAAAGACATTATCCGATTTGGTTTACAAAACTTTGGATAGTGATAAAGAAACAGAGAAAAATCGACGGTACAATGTTATTGTAAGTACATACATTTATACGGTAAGCATTTATTTAATTATTAAGAAGGAGAGGTTAAGACATTTCATTTATTTGATTTTGTTAATCTGTTTTAAGTTTGACTTTATTTACTGATTTATTTGATAATTAAGTGAAAAAACTGTACGACTTATGCTTTTTCTTATTAATTTGCTAGAAATTGCTTAAAACTTGGTTCGGAACCGACTCAAAACACACTGCAGTCTCCAAAGAAAATTATCATTTTATTATAGAACACTTGCTTAATGCACATTCGGGAAATCTGCTGGAAAATCCTGAAATTAGCAAGCTTTTAAACGAATTTTTAAATAAATCGTCAGTAGACATAGATTTAGATAATGAGCCCATTACAGAAATGAAAAACTTTTTTAAAAAGAAACTTGAGAATAACAGAGAACGGGAAAAGTTCATTGGTATATAAATATGTACATATGAAAGAAACAATTTCGCTTAAAATTTATTTTCATTTAAGAATTAATAAGAGAAAGAGAAAAACAGAAGTTAAAAGGTGATGACTTCTCCTTAAGTATCCCATCACCATTGAAAGCAGAGGATTGTGCGAAGTGCATTGAAGTTTTAAGTGAAATTGAATCGATGGCACAATGCTGTCATCATAATACTTCTACCGCAAGAAATGATACTAGGCTTAAAATGGTCAATGCAGCATATGCGCTTTTAAATCTTAAACGAACACAAAAAGACTTGGATTTGCTTACATATATAGTCGAACAAATAGGGCAACTTGAAGATTTGACACAAGATGAGAAAGATCTGGTCTTTTATTTATGGAAAAATACAGGTCAGTGTTGTTATTCATTGTTTTGGAATTCAACAAGAATAGTACAGTTTTATATCTTCAAAGATATTTAGATAGATATTTACTTATTCATCATCAGCTAACAAGAAATTAAAACTTGCACTACCTTAAGTGGGTGACTCATGCTTTTTGTACAAGGGTCCAATAACTTATATTAAACTAAATGTTAACTATAATCTGTAAAATAGGAATCTAACAATGAATATCATCCAGAAGAATATCTGGGATTATAGTTACAGCATTTTGTACACCCTAGATAATTCACAAACTAAATTTGTTCTACTAGTTTTTGATTATCAGTTATCCATTTACTTAAACTGTACATTTTTTTATTGTCAGATATTTTAAATTTGTCTGAAGACCTCGCAATGGAACTTCTCTTAAAATTTTCGTTCATTTATGAGGATACTGTAAAAAAATTGTGTAATTTAATTGTGACTGATGAAGCACTATCGGATGTCGATGCCGAAACCAAGTTTTTAAATGACAGTGAAATGAAAAAGATTCTGTCCTATGCTGCCGTTAATAAAATTCTGAAATTGAACATTAAAAATTTAATATACGAAGTATTTGCCAAGTCGAAGTTTGATAAGAAACTTCATGTGATCTTAAAAAATTTGTAGTAAATCACTTATAAAGGAAAACGACCGTTTAGAATATGTTTAAAAATTATGGCTGTGTTTTATTAGCAAGTTTAGCAGATGATTAATATTTTTACATGATTATTTTAATAAAAAAACAAAATATAAGTTATCTATTTATTTAAATCCGAAATTACGGAAAATACATCGTAATTATCTGTGAATATTAAGGGTAATACATCACACTGTTTTAATCATCTACGTCTTCCAAAAAATATAAAAGTGTGTCATTTTCATACGTTGGAAAGAAGAATCTAAAACAAAAATTAGTTTGGAAAAAAGCATAAAAAATGAAAAACTGATTAATTATTTTAAATATTAATTACATATCGCAAAAAGTGGTTCTAAATTTTAACTTACTCTGGTTGATCAAAATTTTTAATATCTGGCATTTTAAAATGTTCTTCAGTTGCTAAATGTTCTTGTAAAAGTTGGTCATTTTCAAAGATTGTCTCGCAGTAGATGCACTGTAATTCGTGCATTCGTTTTCTAATGTAATTTACTAATTTAACTTTTAAATAGAAATCTAATTCTTGTACTAAACAATCGAAATTAAAATTATGAGCTTGAGACATGTGATTACAAATTAGAACTTTTGATGTTTCTTTGTGCTTGCAAAACAGACAAATTATAAAATCTTCTTTTCCTTCTTTCCAATCCTCATATTCTTCATCAGAATTTAAAGACGCTATAAAAAATATATATTTAATATTACACACAGAAAAATTACAATTATATATTCAAAATTTCAATTAACCTTCAAGAGCTATAGGTGGATCGTTATGTTTTTTCTTATGTTGATCCCAGGCTCCATCAGGTTCTAAATAATTAACTGAATAATACTTATCATAGCTTTTGTTCAGAGGATTAATGGTTTTATGTTGTCTTTTTCGCATGTGTTCCTTCAAGGTGTTTCTATCAGGAAAAGTGCCTTCACAGTAAATGCATTGAAGAGAATTTATTTTTTCTTGAAGCCTATCTATTAATTCATCAATATACACTAAATTTTGAGGATTACCCAGATGAAAATTGTGTTGGGACATTAGATGACCTATGTAGTCTCTTCGAAGTCCTAATGAAATATCCAATTACTCTACATTGTATAATATACTAAGAAACTTACTTGCCTTCAAATTCAAATCGGCAAATTAAGCATGTCTGTCGAAAATTCGTGTCTGTTCTTTCAAATTCTTGTACCTTTAACATTTTCTCTAATCTTAATTTATGTCTCAATTCCTTATCTTCTTTCATTAATGTAGAAATTAAATAGTATTTTTCTGTTGTCTGAATTGGTACAGATGGTACAATGGAACACATTTCGACATTTTTAAATCGTTCTCTCCAGTACTTAATGTATCTAATAGAAAGGAAACCAACTTTGACTACGTTTGCATTTATAAGAGTGAGTACAACTTACCCTTCTAAATTGTCAATAAACTGTACATCTTCAATAACTACATGGTGCACCTCAAACAAATGACAAAGAAATATTGGTAAAGCTAGGCTGAGATTAAACTTGTCTTCGCATAATAAACAACATGTTTCGATTTCATCTTCGTCTTTTACCACTTCTTCCAAAAGAAATGGACCAAAAGACTTATTTGTTTTCTCTAAAACTTATCGATAAAATACTAAATAAGTAAAATAAACACTAATAGAATCTCAAATATTCAATATTATTTATAATTACCTGACATAATTTATGTTTTATTAAAGTTTTAGAAATTTTTGAAGTCTGACGTCTTCGTATTTTTGTAGGTTATAGTTATCTATGGTTATAGTCCAGTTATAGTCATAGGTAATATTATTTGAATGGATTTAATTTGTACTAATTAGGTGTAGTAGTTCTAATAATTTGTTTAGTAACGTTCAGATGTTTTCATTCTTATTAATATTGTCAGTAAATGCGACAAAAGTAAAAATGACAGATATTCTTGATATAAGCGGTTCTGTTGACTTCAGCATTGAAGATGAAGGAGAAAAAGGAATTTTGAAACTCAAGAAAGGTGCTCTAAGACGTAAAGGTCGAGGATTTGAAAGCAGGAGCCCAACAAAATTGGTTAAAGAAAAGTACGACTTCATCAACAGTGAAGACTCAGATGACAGGAGTGGACCCCAAAAATCTGTGGAGGGGTGGATACTTTTCGTTACCTCAATTCACGAGGAATCATCCGAGGAAGATATATACGAAAGATTTTCCGAATATGGAACCATAAAAAACGTTGCATTAAATTTGGACAGACGCACCGGTTTCTTAAAAGGTTATGCATTAATTGAGTATGAGACCTTTGAAGAAGCGTATTCTGCTCGTGAAGCTTTAGACAAATCAGACTTTTTGGGGCAAGCCATAGGCGTTAATTGGTGCTTCGTTAAAGGCCCAAAACGTAGCACCAAAAAGAGACGTCACTGACTAAAGAAGTCGCAGTTTTGCTTCATTTATAACTTTCATAATGTAGCAGGTACTATTTGTAGTACTTAAAATTAATTCATTTAATAAGTGTTTTGTTTTATTCTTTCCAGCGAAGAACTGATTTGTGCTCTGTTTTTACGATTAACATTTTGTATCTCACATGTTGGTTGAAATAATTGAACACAACTAAAAAGTCTGTTTGAACTAAGTGGTTTATATGAACTAATGCTGTTACAACAAAAAATGACAGATGGCGCTCTAAGTATTTCTATTTATCGTTTTTAATATGGTTTTTATTTCTGTAATAAATTTGTCTTAAAAAGAGTTAAGCGTTTTCTAAAATGAATATTATTGTTTTTCCAATAGTCTTTTTTAGGAAAAATCGGTTATTTGACTCTTCGATGTGCTAACAATACTTTATAATTAATCAGGCTATAATGATAGGTAAAAACGTGTTTATCTTTGCAGTGTATTTCGTTTTTTGTTTACTTATCATGGATCTTTAGGAAACAGAGAAACATTAATTACAAAAGAAGGGATAATCTGAAGGATATTGATAATGTAAATAAGTATTCAGCAATCACTGCTGAACGTTTTGTGTTAATTGTTTAATAATTATCGATTTTTCTTATTTGTTTCAGAAATTAACTCCTAAGCACTCATCAGGAACTCAACTCCAAACAGAAACTGTGCATGAATTTTGTTTTCACCATGGGTTCATCCAGGGCATGAAGTGGTTTGCTGAAGGATGAGTTTGTGGCATGTAATTGCTTACTTTTTGGACTCATTAGGAGTTGTACGACTAGAAGGTAAAAAAAATCCTGTAAGAATATGTTTAGGGCTTCAATTGGGTCATTATACGATTCCAAACAATAATAGTTTCATAATGTAACTTTCAATTTTCAAAAAATTTGATTATTGCAACAATTGTTTCACCACACAGTGGCCTTGCTTAATGTTCCTAGTATTATTTTAGAGTATAAACAAAATTGGCATTGTATATGGTTTGATAAATTCAAATATAATTTGTGAATACTCATAGGCAAATTGATCTACAACGGTGTATATGGTTGCATATGCATTTTCTTGTTTTTAATTTTTTCGTGTCTGCTTCTCGGTTATTTTCTTAACAATTTGTCTGGTGTGAATTCAACACCAGATATAAACAAACATTTGATTTGAACTAAACCAATACATTTTGTGCGTCGCTTATGATCTCTAAATATGTACACCGTAATTGTGTGTTTATTAGATTTATTTAAAAACAGGAAAATTGTTTCTGGTGCTAGGTGAAATTCGAATTATGATAATTTTATTGACGCCGGTCGACTATGACTGAGATTTTTTCGTAAGCATAGTTTATCTATATTATTTATTCGAAATAATAGTTAAATTAAATTTAAAGGGTATTCGCATTAGATCAAAGATCGAATTTATATGTCATAGATTAGATATAAATCTTTACTTTATGTATGATTAGTCATTTTAATTGAGGTTTGAGGTTGTTTATACATATAAACTATGGAATTAGTTAAAAAAATAGCTGTTTGAGAGATGAGGTCAAATAAGATCCAAATAGGGAGCCACGTCTGGTAGTTTTAATAAATAACTGACTAAGAACTTGATCCGTTCATAAAAACTGATACAAGAAAATGCATGTAAAGTTTTTATTGAAATATCCCTGAAATTACAACTTCATGAAGTAGTTTTTCTTCCATTTTCGACATGAAGACTTATAAATACACATAAGATTAGTCGTGTGAATCTGGAACTCTATATGAATAATCCTCTGATTTAAACTTTACGAATAAATTGTGCGTCATTTGCGGGTTCTAAATATGTAAGTATCATAATTGTTCCAGGTGCAGGTGGAAATTAAATATCAATTCATTCCAAGCAGTAACCCTTCATCTGGTTTATGGTCTTTGACCATACATTTACATTTTTAGGTTTTTCTATATATACAATTGAAGTCTTATAATATATTTTGTTAATGTTGTATCTGTTCTAACAGCTATGGTTGTCTTGCGTTTTGGATCACTTTTTCACTTCAGATATTGGTTAATATAATGATAATCTATGAAATTTTCATTTGAGTTCTTGAGTAATAAAATCCACTGTGTTGCAGAACATCGCTTTCTTTGCTATGTAGACTAAACAATTAACGTTTGAAAATTGTTTAATTTTCTTTATAATCGTTGACCAGTTAGAAATTACTGTAATACATAATATTCAATATATACAATACAATATATTCTAAAATATGGCTTAAAATTACAGTCTTTAATGTAGCAAATTATTCCACAGGACTTTATATAAATTCTGAATGCCATTTATTGTGGATCATCGATTGTAGAAGTTCACATTCTCTCGAAAAAGCTGCAGTACCTCAAAGCACTTTAAAAGTGCCTTTTTTCCACCACACTTGTTCGTTTCATTTAAAAATAAATAGTTGTTATTTTAATAAGTTTATTACTATAAACTGTATTACTGTCATTATATTTTCTTTTCTTTTCGAAAACATAGCAGTACCTCTAAATAATTTTAAGTCATATACAAAATATTTGTTTGATGTTGATAGAGAAAAGGGTATGGCATTACTTTAATGTTATTGTATTATGTACCTTTTCTAGTAGGNATATATATCTTTAAGAGTAGTGATCAGGCGATGGAACTTGCACGAAGCAAAAACGCAGATAAATTGAATTCTGTAAAACGGGGATGAAACTAAGCACGCGGTTGGTTACAGCGTCACAGACATTGAATTTAACGCATCTGATTGGCGTTTGTCTACGTCATCAGTGCTTCATGTGGTAGCAATCGCAATCTCGCGACAAGCCTGGGAGGCGTTTGGCACATCATAAGTTCATAAAGTTTCGAGGTGGAAGGACGTGTTTTCGCGCCTCTGAAATTCAACTTATCGAGCTAATTTTTTCGTAAAATTAGTTTTAATTTGTTGTACGTCTGAAAGATTAGTTTGATTGATTCATATTCTGTTACTATTCTTCGTATTTGCCCACAGCATAAATTAAATTGACAAAATTGTTAAAGGTTATATCTTCAAACAGACATCAGGTGGCCATGTCGTCATTTTTAATGTTATTTTATTCGTCTTTGAATGGTTTTTTATTGCGTGTTTTTGTTTTATTTCATGTTTCATTTATTTAATACGACTGTTTAATTCTTTTTTTTATCCATTCTCCGCATATATTTCGACTTTCATTTGAGAAAAAGGAAGAAAGTGAAAAGGATTAAATATTTAAATTTTCTGCGTAACAGATGTCTATCAAATTAATTAGTTAATAATTGTTTTTGTCCGTTTACATAGATTAGCCAACGATTGATAGAGATTGGAACTGATATCCTTTGCTTACTGAAAAGAAGTCGTCTCCTATGGTGTTTTAGCTGTTAACTTTTCATCTTGAAGGCTCTTGCAGTTAATTAAGGTGAGCATGCATACTATATTTTCTATATGTAGTGTATTTATTTGATATTAACAACTAAAAAGGTGCAGCATTACTTTAGCAATGTATGGTGCACATTATTTACTTCATACTTAATTAATTATATCTGAACACTTTTTCATAAGATTTCATTTTACAGGAACATTAAAAGAACTCCGGATACCATTAAATTATGAAATTATGGAGCATTGGTTGTATTAGTCCTCATTTGCTCCGGAAAGTAGCTGTGCCCATGGTTCTAAAGAAAGCATGAAAGTGCCTTTTTTCCATTGGGAACGAAGCTGTTAAATTTTCATCCTGGATGCTCTTGTAGTTAATTAAGGTGAGCATACATGCTATATTATATATATGTAGTGGACTTGTTTGATATTAAAAGACAAGAGGGTACGGCATTATTTTAACAATTTATTTATGCACTCTACTTAGTAGGGGGTTTAAATTTATTATATTTGAATACTTTTTCGTAATATTTGATTTTTCAGGGATGTTAGAAGAACTGCAGATGTCATTAAATTATGGAGCATTGATTGTGTCGGTTCTCATTAACTCAAAAAAGTGACTGTTCCTATGGTCATTTAGAAAGCATGAAAGTGCCTTTCCATTGGGAACGGAGACAATGTGCTGAAGAAGTGTGCTGCTGAAGGAGGGATTTATGACAGTAAACTTGTATGTAAGAGTATCAATTAAAATTAGTAAATGAGGGTCCCAGGAACTTGATTTCTTGGAGATTTGTAACTTGCTTCAATAGACAACTTTTCAGAAATGAAAAAAGCAGAATTATTGTGGAACTCACCTTTCAATCAATGTGAAAGTTAACTTCTAACTTTACCACTATATCGCCACGTGAAAATATTACTTTTTTACTTTATTTAAAAGTGATAATTACTTTTTCTTGCCTGTTTCTATATAGATTGTCCCACAAATGACAAAGAATTGCAGTTAATTTTGATGCCACTGAAGCAACCGATGCTTTTGATGTCTTCACCTTGCAACGTTATGCAGTTAATTTTTGCCGTAACAACGGGAGGCAGTTGGAAATTAATTAATTTGGAAGCGACTGGAACAACAAATTGCCTGCAGTGGTATCCCTCCTAGATTTGGTTTGCTCATCACACTGGTAGACTTTAGAACGCCGCTTTCTACAATTAATTAGGTGAGAATAGATGACTTCATTAATATTAATTGCTCTTTATTAGTCTGTTATGAAATTTCTGTTAACAATTACCTATTGGTAAACATTATAAGTTGAGGTTATTGCGCATGTATATCTCTGACAGTTTTTATTTTCCACAGAAGAAAGCATTTATCATTGATCAATCTATGGATTTTCTATTTAACAGTTTTCTATCGTCTGCATCGTAAATTGATGTCGTGATATTTGACAGTTATCTATGTCGCGTTCTATGGTTGAGATGTAAAATGGCGTAATGTTTGTTATTTTATTACTCAACTATTTTACTTGCTTTTTGAAGCGTTTTTATGTGTGTTTCTTAATTATAAGTGTAATTAACATGTTTTTTTGTCCATGTCTGCAGGTTATACAATAAATGAGGGAATAAATGTGCAGTTTGGTTATACTGAAACAGCCCATGTCTATATGGGTGTGGTCTTTGCTGGATGGATTATATTCTTGATTTGCTGTTTCGTCTTCGCCTTGTAACATCATGCAGTTAATTTTCAACCCATGAGTGAGTGCAACTGGATATTTATTTGAATTCCACTGAAATAAGAAATTCTCTGCTACAGTATTCCTCCTGGAGTTGGTTTACTTTTCACACCTGTAAACATTGGAACGTTACGTTCTACAATTAATTAAGGTGAGAAAACTTGATATAATTAACTTAAATTGCTCTTTATTCATCTGTTTGCCACCGTATCTGTTTCAGATCGACGTTGGAGAAGACAAGGATGACCCAGTAGTTGAAATTGTTCTTTATCTTGCATGCTCTATCTAGTAGAATTCATTAAGTTGATTTTATTCAAATTAATTTTTTATTTTGCATGTTTTTTTTGTAGTTTCTTATAGTTAATTTGATTTAGTTTTTATTTTGCATGCTTATTTTTGTTCATTTTATTTGAAGTAATTGTAGATTGTATNAATGTTCCTGCAAAATGAAATCTTGTGAAAAAGTGTTTAGACATAATTAATTAAGTATTAATAAAATAACGTGCACGATACATTGTTAAAATAATGCTGAACCTTTTTCTTTGTTAGCATCAAATAAATACACTACATATAGAAAATATAGTATGCATGTTCACCTTAATTAACTACAAGAGCCTCCAAGATGAAAAATTAACAGCTAAAACACCATAGGAGACGACTTATCTTTTCAGTAAGCAAAGGATATCAGTTCCAATCTCTCACAGTTGTTAACTAATCTGTGTAAACAAACAAAAACAATTATTAACCAATTAATTTAATAGATATCTGTTACGCAGAAAATTTAAATATTTAATCCTTTTCACTTTTCTCCCTTTCTCTCAAATGAAAGTCAAAATATATGCGGAAAATAGTTAAAAAAAAAAGAATTAAACACTCGTATTAAATAAATAAAACATGAAATAAAACAAAAACACGTAATAAAAAACCAATTAAAAGCCAATAAAATAACAAAACATTAATAATGGTGTCGTAGCCACCTGATGTTTGAAGATATAACCCTTAACAATTTTGTCAAATTAATTTATGCTGTGGGCAAATACGAATAATAGTAATAGAATGTGAATCAATCAAACTAACAACTAACCTTTCAGACGAAGAACAAATTAAAACTAATAGCTCGATAAGTTGAATTTAAGAGACGCGAAAACACGTCCTTCCACCTCGAAACTTTATGAACTTATAATGAACAAAACGCCTCTCAGGCTTGTCGCAAAATTGCGATTGCTACCACATGAAGCACTGATGACGTAGACAAACGCCAATCAGATGCGTTAAATTCGATGTCTGCGACGCTGTAACCAATCGCGTGCTTAGTTTCATCCCCGTTTTACAGAATTCAATTTATCTGCGTTTTTGCTTCGTGCAAGTTCCATCGCCTGATCACTACTCGCAAAGATATATATGCATTTTT